CGGTCATTGTAAAAATAGGCATAGACATATGCTTATAACATTCGTATATGTATATATACTATTCATATATGCTTATGGGGCAGACTTTGGCCAGGCTGACCTCGGGACACCAGAAAACCATAATGGCTTAACCAGCAAATCTCCGAAAAATGGTGTTTTTGCTGGCGCCCGCACAACTAGCAGAGAACGGGCCGTTCAAGTATAAGTAAGTAAGTATGCTTATAATATATAATATATGTACACAAAATCGATTTTGGCAATTACACCGTCTTCGCTTTGCTGGAAACGTCGTTCATACAAAACTAAACATTTTCCAGGCAGAATAAATGCTTGCCGACGTTAACAAATTCTGTGGAAAGAATGGTTTTCGACTAAATCTCGCAAAAAACGATGTTGATGAGGAAAGGATTGGCTTCGTATACCCCATTCACGCACAACGGAACGAATATCTTTGAATGCTCCGGTTACGTCTATCTATATCGGGAAACCAACATGATGAAGGATTTAGCTTCAGAGTTGAACATAAGAAGCCAAGCGGCATGTAAATGGAATCAAAGTGCTTTTCATAGGTTCCAAAAATTAGTTTAATTTTCTTAAATAAAAAAAATTTGTGTGGAGATAGAACTGTAGATTCTAAAAGCATTTGCTTAAATTGTGAAATATAGTATGATTTGGAGTTAATTGTCTCATAGTTAAAAGCTGACAATTCATCAGTTGTCGTATGATTCCACTTGTAGTCATTTCTTCATTTATAGGTAATTGTTTTCTAGGAATGTGAAGTGAACAAAATTATGAGATGGAATGCAACAGTATGAGCAGATGTTGCGATCGATGGCAGTTTTTGTTAAGAAAAAGAATGGCATTTTGCTCCTGTGATGCAATGGCGTTCTTCAAATGTTAAAGAATCTTAGAAGGCTCTCCTGCTGCTTACTAATCATCAATAGATACGAGTTTACTATTCGATGTCTTAGCCAAGAATTTAAAAAATGTTTTTTCACTGATAAGCCGACACAATGCCATCGTGAAAATTTTGCTTCGGATAAATTATTTCCCGCGCCTTCTCCTTGTTCAGCGCCAGAAGATTCCGGTCGATGGTCTACGATCACACATTTTTGTGGTATGGGGCGTTCGTAGCCACATTGAGTCGAAGTCAGCAGAATGGAGCACTGATCCAGTGAAAAAAAAGTGCCAGTATAGTATTACATCTGCAGTGACATAAATTTTGTCTGCAATTTAAGTTCACATCAATATTTATCCAATCTCAAAACGCGATCTCTTTGTGCAACTGCTATTGCACCCTTTTGCATTGCACGCCGTCAGTCTACTACGGAACGACACTAGCTTTGACCTCTGTGAACACAGGCAATACTGGAGCAGTCTTTTTTGAACTTTTCCAACTTAGCTTCTGTAAATGCTTTCTATTTTTTGGCTTATTTGCAAGTTTATACTTGCTTGTTACAACACCTTGTTGGTCTTTTGTAACCATCGTCTTCTACACAGCCGCAGTGATTCCAGATGAGTCTCCAGACCAGTTTTTGAGAAATCTTGTCTTCGTTATTGCATTTCTACACAGAACTACTCTTGCAACCAAGGTCAGATGACCTTACAGGTAGCAGTGGATCGTTCGTGGCATTAAAGGAAGGCGACCTCACCAGCAATGCTCTTCTATACAGTACAGTTCTGACCTCTGGCGTGATATTACCTCGTAAGCTGTGCCCTTTAACAAAGGAATGTTTCTATCACTATAATGAGATGGCTCATTCCATAGCAGTTTCATCAATGCAGAATTGCTGTAAATCTTTATTGTGGCCGATGATCGCTGTTTTATTTAAGCTTCGATGGCGGCGTTGGTGCTGAAAGCTTCACGGTAATTAAGAAAACGTTCTATAACTTTTCATGTTTGTTAGGCGCTTCAGCTTCCACTCATTGAAACTTTACTAAGAATTTCGAACAGCTGTGAAAAGATGGAACGTCTTCAAAGCTTATCAAGAGTTTTCATTCGTGATACCGCAACTGTTAAATTGTTGCCAGGCGATTTTTCTGTCGAAACGTTACTTTTGCTTTTATCTACCTCGTGTATGCTTAATAATCGAAGAACGTGTTCCGGAGTAGCTCAACCAGGCAATCATCCTCCCATTCGCAGCGATTTCTAACGAACGAGTGAACAGCACACTAAAACCCGTTCGTTGAAATATTTGTTGATCGGTGATTGCTAATCAAGGAGTTCATCCTCATTGAGTCTCCACAATGAATGCGTTTCCGGCATTTTGAAGCATTTACAGAAGCTAAGTATGGTGTTTGTATACATATTTTTAACGAAAAGCACTAGAATGTACTAAAATTCATTGTTACATTGATGAGTTCGAACGCGGATTATGAAATAAGTGTGGTGCCGATGACGCTCCGGTAGTATTAATTAACATCATTGTGATCAGAGTCACACTGTTTGAGATCCAAATACTGCCATGTTCAACTCAAGCCGAGTGTCCACTGCAAGGTTAACACTTTTCGACCGGTCTTATAACCCATATTGTGTTAAACTAAGTTTATTGATATATTTATTTATACGATCTTATAAACTGACCTTTTTGAGCTGATCTGAGGTTGCTATAGGTCTTCGTTATCGTTGTTGGAGTTGTTGATGTCGTTACCGTTGGTGCTGTTGGTTGATAGCGGACATGTCGGGGATTTCGCCTCCCTCAGAGCCTAGGCGTATTTAATGTAATAGTAGTCTTATATTCGGTAAAACATTTATGGCATTTATGAAGATCAAACTTTCAAATAAACGGCGTATTGACCAAAAAGGCTACTCACCGTGCTGTTACGATTGGGACTGCCCACGTGTTGTTCACGTTGGACGGCGAGTGAGACCAACCCAGGGGTCAAAATATCATTTTGAAATAAGGCTCTAGGTCACTCGTAATGGTGAGGCATTCGTCTTTCCGGTTCATCTTTGGGTTTTTGAAATTTATCCAAAACTCCTCGAAAGTCAACTACTTGTGCCGAGGTTTGCAGAGTCGGTTTTTTGAATTTAGTGAATAATCACGCCGTCGAAATGAACTAACCTAAATAGATGACGTCCTTAAATGCAAAACGGTTTTTGTTTAATTGTCTATATAAGGGTAATCATTTTCATAGCGTAGTACAAAGTGACGAAGAGCGCGTGTAGCGTAATGATTAGAAGCGCCCTGCTACCCACACTGGATTCCCTGCGTCCCAAGCTCCGCAGCTTTCCATCGCCTCTGGAGTCGGCAAACGACTACTAGAGTTTCTTTATTTGCGAGGATGGCAACATTGGCTCGTTACATCGGTTGGGCTCTGCAAGTTATTGTAAAAGCCAGATATGCATTTGATCACTTCTATCGATGCTTAATGATATCGAACGCATGGTTTATCTCTCAGGAACTGCTCAACGCCAAGAGCTTTATCCTTTATCCTTAAATATAAAGTGAGAAGATTTGTAATCTTAAACAAATCAGAGACTCATGCTTCAGCTAATAACATTACCTTCTATTCGATCAGTAGCTGTTCAAAACTTGAAGAGGTACCCATGCCAAGCCATATTAGCGCAGCAACTGCATTACGAGCTTTCCACTTAACCTTTTCTAAAACAGTGTGTCATCGTCTTCACAAACACTAAATTCTCACCTACAGCAAAACATTGCGTGATAAAAGCCTCATTGCAGTCAACCGCACCATCATCTACTGTAATAGCAAATGAAAGTCTGTGTTGTGGTCAGCGTTACCATTTATCATATACGAGCTCTACTGATACAGCAGGCCGTCGAGTTGGTGAGAAGCAGCTGTCTCTTGTGATATTGACTCACAAGACAGATCACGTTCATAATTTGCCGTTTTGTAATTCAGAACTTATCAGTCTCATAAATAAGCGGTGAAGTGGGATAGGTTCATTTTAACTTCATAGTCTCTCGAACAGTGAAGCCTTCACGATGTCACTAAATGTCGAGCCACCTGTCGGAAATTTTGCTGCTACCGGAGGCAACGCAACACACAACATCATTTCACTTGTCGATACGAAACTTGCTTTTAAGGTGAAAAAGACTCATTACGGTAAAAACTTAAACTTGTGCACAAAGTGACCGTTAATGACGTATAACGCTAAATACTTCATCTATACATTCCATAAGTGAAAAGCCGACATGCAAACCACAACACCCCTTTAGCGCAAGTTGTTTGATTAAATAATTTATATTATGCGAAACCTTTCTTTTTCAAAAATATCCTTCTACTTTGCACCATAGAATTGCGAGTAGGCGACTAAATCTATTTTTCCAAATAAAGAATCTGCCGCCTTGAGAATTTCCCGCCAACTTTTCTCACTTTATAAACAATAGATAGATAAGACTCCTCCATAAACACAACACGCATTCATTCAACTTTTCGATGCATAATAGCATAAAAGGATGAAACAATCTCATTGAGTAGATTAACACCGAACGCTCAATCTTTTCATTTTTTTCCCTGAACATTTGTAAGTTTATTCACATGAAATTTGGATAGCCCATCGCTCCTTCGAAGAAAGAAGGAAATGTGAGCTACGCCACAATTATCGTGCTGCTCGCATTGGCTGTACTCAAGAAGAGGTTTTTTTAATCTAAAGTCTTTAGATGGATGTGTTAATGCTTTTCTAGGTTTTGGATCAGACAGGTTTGCTACTGGAAGGTACCACCCTTCTCGGTTACTTTAATTAAATGGATCTTGACATATTCAGATGAGATGAGTTTCCGGATGGGAATATCGAGATTCCTCCCAATTTTATGGGCCTTTCCAGAAAACAAAATTGCTGTAGTTTACAGTAATATTGCATCCTTTACATTTCAAGGTTACCGTAGTATTCAGAAACACCACAATTTCTCAAACAGATTGTGAACCAAAAAGGAAAGGTGTTATAAGATTGAGATTTAAAAAATTGAGAAAGGTACGGAACAGAACATATTCGCCCAAACAAACTTATCACCTTAATAAATAAGGACACGGTGCTTTCCAAAATATCTAACGACGAGGTCTACTGTCAGACTTTTCAAGAGGTCGAAGGCAAAAGGTTGTCTTCGTGTTCTACTGAGTCAAACTCAATTGCTACACTGTTATCCGAATAAGGCAAAACCGGCTTTTTAACTCATTGATAAGTTTGAGCGCAGATGATATGGTTTAATATCACTGGACAACCAAAGCTTTTTATTTATTACACACATTTAGGTGAAGTCCTCAAACAATGATCATTATCGTGTGAGACCTGTGTACGGGTTCGTTGAGGGAAAGGTAAGTCGCGGGATTTTCCTTATTTTATTACTGAGAATAACGAGCAATTCATTAAGAGACATCATTTCAGTAGCAAATTCTAATTCCTTTTTATATATCCATATATACATATTGTATCGAAACGAGTTGTATACACGAACCTATCCGCTCAGATGAAGGCGATAGTTTTTTTTGCTTTAACTGGAAAGCAAGCAAACTACGCCCCAATCTCCTCGAACAAATGCGCTATGTAACCACCTGCTCATTTGTAGCTCTCACTCACTCACTGAAGAGCATCAGTGAATGAGTGAGTGCTTCAACGAAACCATGGAGGATCATGAAGGTCATTCATAGAGATCCTTCAATGGTGAGCTTTAGAGTACGACCAAGCTCGAGATTGTACGTCTAACTGGGCCGGCGAAGGAAGACAAACTCGTTATTCAATGGGCTGAGGTTGGTTCATCAGCAATAAATCTAGTTATCTCATTTCACTAGCTATTATAAAATATCATATCGACGTGATCAGGTACCGAATGATGAGACCGACGCACAAGCACCGTTTAAAGCAGGTGCACAGGCTGGAGAAGTGATTTTGCCTCTGAAGGCCGAATAAACATCGACATATGGCGTTCTTAAGAATAAATGACGCTCCTGTCTCGTAAAACTATAGAGAACATAATGATAATACAGTGTAGTACATGGCAGCTAATCAATAGTGTATAATAAATAGAAAGTTACTAACCAAAAAATTTAAAGCTTTAAAGAAAACATTAGGCATCTTGTAGTTATTCAGAGGAGAATCCACCATTAGTATAGTATCACACCTTAATTAGCTAAATGAGGTGGTTCTAAACAAGGTGCATAAAAGGTTTATGCATAAACAATAGAACATGAATCAAACAAATGAATGCGGACAATAGCCAAGTAGCCGAAGAAAAGATCTAGCTGACCACAACAAGAGGAAGCCATTCAAACTTTGCTTAACATAATCAGTCTGCCGAGTGCGAATCTAAGGACGTGGGGAAAAAATGTTAAGCTATAAACGAATATCGACATCAGAAACTTACTTTTGGTGGCCATTTAAACTAATGAACACATTTAGGAGGTAAGAAAGTATTTAAACGACGTTTCTGCATTAACTAAAAGTATAATATAAGAAACAAAGAAGAATAAGAAAAAACAAAGAATTGCACATAAACTTTGTTTTAACATTAGAACCAACCAATGTGTTACTCTGTTTCTAAAAATAGTCGAGATCACTTTGTTAAGCAAACGAGTTTTAGTTTACAGTAGCAAGCGTTCCTGTCGGTTTCGGTTTCTTCAGAGCTTGCAGCTAACAATCTCATCTAACATACAGCGTGATTAACCCAATACTTTTGCAACCCAAAGAAGATTTTAAAATAAGAGTGTCAAACACAATAATCCATTGGATGTACGCAGCTCAGCGTTACAGATGTCGTGCCATGTACACATAGCCCCTGGTTCGGTTCCGCACGCTGGACACAATGAAGCTGTCCATATCTCCATGGTCGGCGATGTGGTACCGAACTTGCATGGAAGGATAAGCTGCCACGGTCTCCTTTTCCATCCATTTGTTCTGGATGTGGGGGAACCAGCACAGAGAATAGATGGGGTGACAAACTTATGTTAGAAATGTCATATCAAGAACATTGCAACTTGAGAGCTTTGAATTTTTTTATTATGTGAATAATTATATTACCAGAGTAACAAGGCAACTACAAAAAAGCAAAAAATAAACACTTGAAAAGCATAACGATCATAAGGAAGGAAATAATCGCATCGTTGTGGATGTGGATGCTTGAGTGGAGATCCGGATGTTATCATAGTATATCGTTAATGCTATTCTAAAAACAAACCATTACTAAAAATTGTGAAGATGTATCAGCTTTAAGTATAAAATCAAAAATGCCAGTCTAATTTTGATCCTGTTTTTTAGGAATTGTCTTAAGATAAACGGTATCATTCATCAATAATCTTAGAACTAAATTCTAAACGTGAAATTCCTTAGATTCTGTTAGATTCTGTTAGATTCTTTAGATGAGTCGATGGTTGCGACTAGGATTGGATTATCACCGATTATAGCAATTAAGTGATCATTTAAAAAAAGATAGCATTGGGCATCGATAGAGCACCGAGATGCTGGTTTTCGATACGACACACATCAACGGAGTACTGGACCACAGTTCAGTGTTGTAGAACGAACCTACGAAACGTGTGAATATTTATTGATGCAGATTTTCACCATCTTTTGGGAGAACAGATCTTGAAACACAAAACAGCGGTATATGCCAGGCGTGACAACAATTCCAGATCCAACAGTGTTCAGCTTTCTAGAAAGAAAAAAAACACAAGTGACAGTAAGATTATCATAGGAAACGTCACGCAATGATTATAACGCTGTGTGTCGACAGATGGACCAGAACAATACTCAAACCGTACGCTACAAACACCACTTGACGTTTGTTCAACTACTGTTCAATGAATGGTGTAAGAGAACGACAGCAAAAATTGTATTGCATCGTGGTTGTTTCCTATATGACGTTGAATAATGGGCTATGCCCTCTTACGCAGCACTTCCGATCATTGTACGTCATTCAGTCTTCGTGAGCAAATCTAACCGCCAAGAATTGGTGGTCGTTGGTAGTCGTACCATGTAATTTACACCCAGGAAAACTCAGAAGTTAGTACCTTGTGCTCAGCGTTTGCCGTTGAGACGAATCACGCCTTCGTTAACGTGGTTTGTGATTATTGGTATGGATTCACATCTTTCATGGCTTGTCTCACATGTGCCATGGCGAATGCACACTGCATCATCTCGATACTGCATATTCATCCCGGTTACATAGCTTCCAGGCTTCCGAGGAATAGAAAAGGGCAGGTAGAATATATGAGTTCAATGGTGGGCGCGAAGTCGGGTGTTCTTGGTACGTTTCTCTAGATTCTCGATACACGTGTTTTTGACAATTCAAATTACGTGGATATAGGGCTAAAATAAACCTTACTCACTAAGGTATTGAGGTAAACTAGGTACACTAAGGTAAACTACAGCCGCAGCTTAACTGGGTTCTATGCCGATTTGGGCGCCCCAGATCAATCCCGCTGATGGGTGATTGCTGTGGCAAAGATCGATAGAAATAGCTGAGAGACAGGCGATACGAAGAGCCCGCATGGTGTGGTGGTGAACGCGTTACTCTCCGGAAAGGACAATAGCGCGTTCGTTCCCCACCATAGACACCTGCGGTCCAGAGTTTTGCAAATATTTTAGCAACGTTGTGATTATTAATAGAATTGTACTAGTTTTTAACAAGATATTAATATCTGAGCGCTTTGTTATAAAACCGGGAAGAAAGCTATTACTTTAGCCGTGTCAGAAATTCTGCCCACCCTCTCATACAGCGAGGCCGCACAAATACCGAAGACTTGCCACTCAAGGTGTCCGAGTATTAACCTCAACACATTGCTCATGTTACCACTAATTTTCGCTCAGGTGTGCGAAGTAATACTTCAACACCGATAAGCACAAATGTTTCAAAGAGACTGCAAGAGACACTGAGCATCCGAATTCAGCATGGATGTAAAGTTTTTGATATGGGACACCTAGATTTTCATTTGAAGTGCAGGTGATAAGGTCCTAAACCTGGTGAAGATTGTGTGCTAGCGGTATGACGATCACAGCGTAACATTTGCTAATGACAGCATAGTTTATTATGAATGTGCAACCACTGCAAGTTATTACAGAATTGATCCTATCCGATCTGATTGGAACACACCACACAACACTACACCATGCATCCCTTCGACACACCGCACTGGTTTAGACCAAAACAGGGCAAGAAAGTCATTCGTGTTAAAACTTACATCTGAAGAGTAGCATCGTTTTTCAATAGGTAGGGATAAAGAGTGGTTGTCACTCATTGCTAATGAAGTCAGCCGATTGTTGATATCGACATTGTAACCTTCCTGAAATGAAACCCTTTTTTCATTGCAAAAAGAAAGAAATATGGCTTACATATTTAGCTTATACAACGGTTTATGAATGCCAATAATAATCTACGCAATTTTTTATTTCCACAGACAAGCGACTTAGCCCTTTCTCGACTAGAAAGAATGGGGAATCTGTTAGAATAATGTGCAGAACAGAACGATTTGCAGCGTGTGTGCAAAGCAGGGTACGCCTACTCACTGCGTTACAACTCACTAATTGCATAATTAAGATTGAAATTGCAGTATAGCTACAGTGATGCCAAGATATTTGCAAAATTCTGCTCACAAGTGTTGGAAGTGAAAATCGAACTTCCTGTTAATCTTTCCGAGCGTTAACGCTCTCACCATAACACCATTCTGGTCCTAGTTCCGTCTTTTCTTTTACCGTGCTTTATAGGTGCTATCTGCAATCATCCGTCAACAGGATTGATCTAAGAAACACAAATCTTTTGCAGACATCTCAGTATCATTGAAATCACACTTCACATCATACCCTGCCATGAAAAGAAATAGGCAGCAAATAAAATGTGAATACATTGTAACCAAAGTGTTTTAACTTCCATTTGCTGTCTATTTCTTTTTCGTGCGAAGCTATTATGACGTACAACCAAGAGGATGCAGAGATATGGGCAAATCTCGGGACCTCAGTTGGACCTCGAATTCGCGACATCAAGCGGTGCCTTTGCTTTCCCTTTCTTTCGGCCAATCTTTTTTACTGTTGGCATAATTTTTTTGATGGAAAGCTTTTGCCCATATCTCTTCACCGTTATGGTTGTAATCCATATCGTGACCTGACACGAAAAAAGAATAAGGAGTAAATAAACCTTAAGGCACTTTGATTTTGAATGCGGCTTCAACATAACTGGGTTCAGAGTCGATTTACGTTTTCCAGATTATTTCCGTTAACGGATGATGGCTGATAGTACCGTTAAAGTAAAAGAAATTTGGTTAGAAAGCAAAACAAGGGACTCAGATGGTAAGATGGACAGCACGTGAGCCCTTGGAAACGGTAATCGCTAGTTCGAAGCTTACATGAGGTTGCGAATTAGAATTTAATATTGCTCGGTAGATCGATATTTTCTCGCAAGTCGTTCTGTGGATTACATATGCATTTCCTGCTCTTCATAACTCTTAATGGAGTCTAGTCCATAGCTAATTTCAAACGAACTGATCTACACTAAATGCCTTATCATTACCGTTCGATGTCTACGCGCTCTAAATAAAATACGTTCGCACCAGCAAAGAGGTTTCCTGTTGACCATTCAATGTGGTGGACTTGGTTAAGCTCTCAATCATATTTAGTTTTGATTCAAATACTTTCTAGCAGGAGTTATTCATTACGAAGCGGCTGGCTTATCATCGATACCGTAATCCTTGACATTATCAAAATAACTCCGATTAGTGTCATTCTATGAAGTCAACATTTTAAAGTTGTTCTCAAACTTCATCACGTGTGTGATAATTTACACTTGACTACGAATGAAGCTAATCACTTTTTCTTCCTTTTCTTTTCAAACAAGTCACCTAAAGGAATGTAAGAAAAAGTAAAAGTAAAAGATTTCTCATCAAGGAGCTATTTATAGAAAAAAAATGCATCCTTTAACGAGAGATAAACGAAATCTGTGGAACTTATGAAAATTATAAAATTTATGAAATTAAAATTGAAATTAAATTAAATTATAAAAAACTTATGAAAATGGGCAACTTCACATTCGAAACCATTTCGACGCCCTTCATCGTTTTTATCGCACTTTGATCCTCTTCTTAATAAGTGTATCTCTAAATTTTAAAGCACACACACTCTGTGAAGTAAAGCTTTAATTCATATAAACTCTATAGAACGATAAACATTTATTTGTGATACAATGAGAATGATGCTGAGATATTTGCAAAACTCCGAATGAAACGCAGGTGCATGCGGTGGGGAACGAACGCGCTATTTATTACCTTTACCCTTTCCGGGAGCTTACGCGTTCACCACCACACCATGCGAATCCTTCATTTCGCCTGTCTCTCAGCTAGTTCTATCGATCAGTGTCATCAGCAATCACCCGTCAACGAAACTGATCTGGTGGGCCCAAATCGGCAGTGAACCTAGTTAAGCTGAGGCTCTAGTGGAAATCACATTTTCAATTTTTCCCGTAACTCAATTCTGTTATCGTAACCGTAAACAGTGTTCATACGTTTATAAAATTCTGATATAACTTTTTATCCCAAAAACAAAAGAATAAAGCCATAGCGTTAATAAATCCCTGAAGGATGCCTCGTGCATAGACTTCAATAAGCACCGTTAGAGGTGGTTGAATGCATATCTGTTTGTAAAGCCAGTACTTCAATTCTCCCAGATGGTGTCGTAGAACTTTGCTAATCCCAAAGGAATGAAAAGTTTGGCGAGTGTGGTACTGGAGATCTAAGTCACACCCATGTGTCTATTAAACGCCACCCCTAACCACTGCATTGTAGTTACCAACACAGCGATCTTCCACTTCTAGACGCTTCCAGGTCTCAACATCCTCGATTTCGCATAGCCAAGAATTCTAGATCGCTTTTCAACCTGAGATTAAGGATCAAGGCTTTGTGATTTCACAAGTGGTTCTTGAAAGTTCGAAAAAAGTAGAAGATAGATTCTTCTGGCTTCACAACGTGCATTAAGTGCAGAAGTTTTTCCATTTAGCAAGTGCAATCTTGCCCATGTCTACATATCTCCAACGTTTTCGTTGTAAGGCATCTGCCAGCTTCTGTGGTGAAAAGTGAATGCGAGAGTGATTATCATTAAATCGCAACCACAACAATGCTGAGATAGTCGCAAAACTTGGCTCCGAGTCAGATCAAACCACGATTTCCTTTTCCGGGAACTCGCATATTACACACTGCACTCCAAAGCTCTTGCTTTTCGTATCTCTTAGCTAGTTTTCTACCTGTTGTTGCCATCAGGAATTACCCGTCAGCAGGATTGATCTCGAGAGAACAAATCGGCATTCAACTCAGTTAAGCTGAAGCTGTAGTCCAAACGACAGCCTTTCATTTGATGGTTACTACAATTTTTCACGGCAGGGTTGTATTTTACATCATATCCTGCTATGAAAAATTACAGTAAGCAGTAAATAAAAGATTGACATTGTGATATCACTAAGTTAGTTGGAAGAGGCCACAACTTTTGCCATCAATTAAGGTTGTCCAAATGTTAGAGCAGGATAAGATGTTCGTCTTGATTAGGGAAGATTGCGACAATCGCCTGATATCATTCATAGCGCCTTCGAACTACAAATAAAAAACTGAATGAAAGACCTACCTTGATTTTTTTCATCACGTCTCGTAGTAAATTTCGCCACAATGTAATCGCCGTATCGATGTCCTTGTCTGGATATTTACGGCTTTGTGTGAGCGTTTTTCGAAATACATATATGGAACATTCCAAAAACGTGGTCCAGTAGTAGGATCTGAAAGAAAACGCCTCCTATCTCAATTTTCATCATAATTCGACCGACTCTAAAAGTGCATATGACATACGCGACGAACATTTGCGGGCTTTGCTTAGATGTATCGGATTTCACGCAGTTTATAGTTGAGTCTGAGTTTTTATTCATTGAACGGCTCAAAATCAATAGCGGAAATCTCGAAACTGATAAGTATTTGCTAGTCATACTGATTATTATACGAGCGGCTGGTGTAACACATTGGTTAGGCTTGTGTTAAAGTTCAGAGGTGGTTATTAGTTCGATTCTGCGCCCTGGACCAGCCAGCTTCCGCATTCCTTAAGGACAACAAAAGCTATGACAGATTGCAATCACTGCTTAGGCCAAACATAACCGTAATAACTCTCAATCACTTATATGACGTTGCGAATGGAAACGAACGCGTGGGATATTTCTAAGTGGTTGTTCAATAAAGCGCCATATATGCCAGAATCGCTGACCGAAATTTCCCGCTTGCTTCGAGCTTGCCGTGACGACGTCCGAGATTAGTGAGAATCGGATCCAACGCCGACAGATTATCTAACGACATTATGGCTCCTTCGATAACCTTAATTAGCAAAAAGGTCTATTAAGAGTATTGATATAAAAACTAAACATGAATATTTTACCACGATTATCTTCATTACATTAGTTTAATTTGCAATTTCTTGGAACAGGAGTCGTCCGCAATGATAAAGCATGTCAACAATACGTTGTTGGAGACTCCAACGACAGAATTGGAAACGCCAACGAGAGCGAATTCAGGATCGGAAATTTTGGATTAGAAGAAAGAAATAAGAATGGGAACCGTCTCGCAGGACTCCTATCAGCAACACGTCTCTTCCATGGAAACTCATTTTTTCAGAAGAAAGAAAGCCGCCGCTAGACATGGGAGTCTCTCAACAGCATGATTCATGCGGAGATCGACCATATTCTGAAAAACAGATGATGGTGCCTACTTGACACATCAGTAGTCCCGTCATTCTGTACTGGCTCCGATCACCGCCTTCTTTGCGCGAAGATTCGATTCAGCCGCAAGCTGGAAAAGAACTCTCTTCATCGACCATGAGAAAGGTGTTCAGCTGTGCACCACGAGAGCATTCTGAACGAAGTCCTGTCCAAACGTGACTGGTAGATTAAACAAGACCCGACCGAAGACTACGAGCTGCTAGTCGAAGGACTGAAAAGCTGTGCCGAATTCGCCTCAGTTCCTTAAGCAAGAAGATCAGATCGCATCTCCATCACTACTATGGAGTTGCTCGAAAAGAGAAGGAAACTGAAGCTTGATTCTACTGCAACACGTTTAACATGGCTAGTAATAGATTTCAGCTGCAAAAGAGCTTTGCAGAAAGATCTTGTTCTGCTGTTAGCCCTGATGAACGAAGATGGGATCGTCAAAACTTTCCACCATAATATGGAATTAATAGCCGGAACGTTCTACACTAACCTTTTTCTTTCCACAATCCCCGTCTTGGGCCCTAATATCGCCGCTGGAGAAAAGCCACCTGGAATTCTTCCGTCGGAGGTTTGAGCTTCGATAGAAAGCATGAAAAGGTGCACAGCTCCAAAACCCGATAATATCATTGCTGATTTACTCAGAGCTGGGAACCACAGTTTACATATGCTTTTCGCAGATCATATGACAGGCTAGCTTCAAAAGAAAAAAATCCCAGACCAGTGAAGGACGTCACGCAGGGTAATCCTGCCCAAGAAAGGAGACTTCGCAACTGTCGTCCCATATGCTTGTTCAATGTACTCTACAAGCTCTTCACGAAGATTGTCCTCTCGCGCATATCAAGGACAGTGGATGAAGAGCAACCCTTGGAGCAAGCAGGATTCCGACAAGGATTTTGCTGCGTGAACCACACTCAAACTATTTTTAAAGTCATTGAAGTTTGTTGGGAATACCACTTGCCTCTAGTCCTAGCCTTTGTCGACAATGAAAAAGCGTTTGACAGTGTCAAAACGAATGCAATCCTATCAGCGCTCGTCGACCGAGGAGTGGACCCATCCTAGATGAAGACACTGTCAGAGTGTTATCGGAACTACACTACGAAAATGCAGCTTTTCCATCGATCTAATATAATGCCCATAGGTAAAGGGGTTGGACAGGGCGACACAATAACGCCAAATCTGTTCAGTGCGGCACTGCAGTGGATGGTGAAGTCACTCGATTGGGATGAGAAAGGCATACGTGTTGATGAAAAATTTCTATCAAACCTTCGTTTTGCCGACGACATAGTCATCTTCTTAAAAAGTACTAGCAGAGCAAAAATAACGATCAACGAGTTCAACGAAGTTGGGAAAAGATCGGAGTGCGCATAAATCGAGAGAAGACCCATTTCATGAAAAGTCACATCTTCGAGATCCAGGAGAATATACATCGACAGCGAAACATAGATGGGTCGGTCACATAATGAGAAGAACAGACAACAGATGGAAGAAAAGAACATTAGAGTAAACTCCAAGAAAATGCAAACATCTCCTTGGACGACTCCTACACGTTGGGCGGACGTGTTCGTAAACAAAGTTAATCAGCTGTACCCACAGCTGCAGTTGTTTTACAGATCACGATATGAGACTCGCAAGCGCTACCATGCTCGAACAAGACCACCACCATGGATTACGATTGCGAGTGAAAGGAACGAATGGCATATGTGCTGGGGTCCGCACAGCTCGTAAAGACGGACCGTCCAAGTAACTAAGTAAGTAAGACTCTTTTATTACACAGAATTACAGTACTATGCAGAATATGATGATCTCGTGTGGTGCAATGATTAGAGGTGCCCTCTAACAGACAAGTGCTTTTTGGATCACATTTATATGCGTGAGATGTGCTACCCTTGAAAAGTTCTGAGATAAAGTGTTGCGTTGTTGCTCACCTGGATAAATCGCAACGCTTGAAATGCGAATTCGCAACACTTCTTGTCCGGTTTCGAGTTGACGAACTCCATTTTCGGAAATAAATTTCGTATCTCAGGACACTGAAACAAATAACACTTGCATTAGTTGTTCCAAGACCGACTTTCTGTTAACCTCGGCAATGACCAAATAATACACTGCATATAATGCTTGTATACTACTGTATAACTTCCATTAGTTATGAGACACAAGATTCATGAAAATCCAAATTTCTCTGAACTATTTTTCTTTGCAGCAGTGAAAAATTCGCTGATATGCACATTTTCATAAATTCTGATCTGCTCCCTCGATTTCTTCCAATTGCTTTCTTTTTCTCGACGTCTGGGTTACATGTAGCCCATGTTCTATGTTAGTGTCCTTCCAGGTTTCAAAACGAGAACAGATTAATGTGCGTCGACAAACTAAGATTTTAACGTTGACAAGAAGGTTAAATGAGCAAAAAAAAACCAAATAAATAAAAGGTATTTAAAAAACTGGAAAGAATCAAAACAGGATGATCCAGATATCAAAAGGCACTATATGTTTTAGTAATTACTGCGTTTTTTCCACAGTGGATGTTATCTGTTTGTTACAACAGTTTTTCAACACATAACTCACTGTCAACAAAGCATAGCACTTAGGTAGACAAAGAATGTCGTATGAATTCATTTCAATGCATAACCTTCCAACTGTTTATTTTAAGGCAAGGACTAGCTCTTTACATCAATTTCTGAATTCAGTCGATAGCACGACATATATTTCAGATTTGACACGCAATTCTTTGCACTTTACAAATTTCTTTTTTGAAGGAATTTTCCAGTGGACACCACGAAGTGAAAAATTAGGCTTGGTTGAGTATGTGTTGATATTATTAAAAAGACTCGACGATTGAGGTCAAACATTTCATTACGTTGTCACTAAGTGATTCAAGTTGATTCCACTGAAGTGCTCGTGGTGCATCGATGCTATTAAGTAGTTTCAACCCGTTCGACTGGGAAGGGGACAGTCATACGGTTAGTATTACGCCGTTTAGGCGAAATGTTTTCTTTTTCATGGTGAAAAAAGAACCGCGACAAACAGCGTTCGCTTTGGTACAGGGTAAACCTTTCATGGATTTTTGAATGGAAATGTGGAACTCATTTTCGACTTAGGAGAACCAGTTCGTTGTACAAAGCGCTGGCTATAAGCTGCACTTTTCCATACATAAGCATCCCTACTACCAATGATGTTTGGACCTTTCAAGTGAACAGTATAAAATTTTTATTTGGTAACGCTAGCATGCAATCGCTAGATGTCATTTGCCCACTACTTTACCTTCTGTAGTCGTTCACCTTGCCGATCGACCACTAACAGTTACTCTCTGATCCTCACTGTTGTGCTGACTGATATATTCTGGCTGACATTCTCACTTTACACGACATTTAAACAAATATAAGGCGAAGAAATGAATACATGCCAAGCCCGGCCATATTTTAATCAACGAGCATGATTAATTGGATCGCTTTGAGTGGAATGCCAGATCGAGATCGAAGAATTAACTTAATTAAACAGATTAAATTGTATTAAAATACAAAAAGGAGACGAGTAGAACCCCTATAGTTACTCTATTTATTGCGAATTTGCATAATTGTTCACTTCATTAGCAGAAACTGATCATCGTTGCACAGAATCGGTCGGAAAACAAAATCTCTCTGTTTCTGCCACGACCGACTTTCTATTAACCTCGGCATTGATCAAGTGATTTTCTTCGTATTTTTGTTGAGCAAACGCGAGGTGTTATTATTCTTTGTTCACGATTAAGCTGACGTTTCGGCGGATTTCGCCTTCCTCAGAGCCTGGAAAGGTCAAGTTGATAGCAATCTACTCGGCCAGACGCCTCCATAACCAAACAAAGAAACCCCAAACCAAGATTTCAATCACTTTGAACACAGCTTTGCACACTCACCGCTTTCTGTGAGGTTTCCACTGAGTATGTCGCGTGAAGACCAACCGCACAGAAATCACGTGGAAGTATAATGTGCCCCTCATATCAGAAAAGCACTTTTATATACTGCCCTATATCACGCGTGATAATGAGGCATTCTTCCCTGCGGTTCATTTTCGGATTTCTGGAATTAATCCAGAGTGCCTCGAGAGTTTTTCGCGCCTGTGTTCTTGATTCGCGTGCGAGGATCGTGACACAGACTTCAAAGTCTTCTCCGTTATGTCTCTGGGTCCTATGCGTGCCTAGCGGGGTATTTGGTCTATTTTTGCCGGCTAAGTGTTCTTTCATGCGGACACAGAGGGGTCTACCCGTTTCGCCAATGTATTCGTCACCACACGTCTTACAGGAGATCAGATAAACTATACCCGAGCTCATGCAATCACCGTCTCTACCACTGGGGCAAATTATGCAATTTTGAGTTGCACATAGACGGTCATATAGGCGGTTACGAACTAGCTGGCGCTTAAGATTACTCGGTGGTATGTCAACTACGCTCACCGAATTCTCTAAGCCCGCCCTTCTTAAGCAGCGTTTTATAGCTGTACTTATATCATTTGAGATGAAGGGTAGGATAAACGGGACCATTCTATCGCTAGAGTTGTCGTTTGGAGACCTACGATTTCCTCTACACCTATTCTGAGCTACAGCTTCGTAGCCATTAGAAATGGCTATTTGCCGTGTCAAGTTCCGGGACTCCTCTCTTTGCTCTCTTCCCGTGCACACGTTGGTTGCTGTTCGAAACATGTTTCTTATAAGCGCCCTTTTCGTGTGAGGGGGGTGAGAGGAGAGGTAATGAACCAAGATGTTTTTACTACTTGGCTTTCGGTACCATTTTGTAATGTAGCCATTTTCTGATAGGTGAATTTGTACGTTCAAAAATGGAAGCCATTTTTCTTTCGGCTTTTCTCGGGTGAACTTGATATACTCTGACTGTGCGTTTAACAATTCGAAGCATTTGTCCAATTCCTCTTGTGTTGAGCAAAGGACAAAGCAGTCGTCTACATACCTACAGTAGAGTAGCGGCCCGAGATCAGTCACCGGTGCTTCCACCTTAGACATAAATGCAATGGCAAGGCTTGGAGCCAGTCGTTGTCCCATTGCCAACCCTCTTATTTGAGCGTAGTACTTGCCACACCATCTGAATATTAAGCAGCCCAAGCATTCTTTTAAGAGTCTTTCTCAGTTTCATTTCTCTCAGTTTCGCATCCCGTTATATCTAGCCACTTTGCACTCTGTCCAGAAACTGTGCTTTCAAAGGGTGCGTTGCATGTCTGCCTATAAGCAAGTGGAACATCCTCCAGGATGTCAGTTTATTATCTTGTGTTATCCTGTTTCTTTAACGTTTTCCACGAATCTTATTGTATTCCTATTGACACAACAGAACTTGTCTGATTATCCGTGAGTCTCCTTTGGTCAAAAACAAAGAAATGACGTGGTGTGATACTTCTAAGTATCCTCGAATGAACGCAAAACACTAGCCTAATTTGAAATAAGACGAGAACGGAAAGATGATGTGCACAGATGAGCCACGCGGTAATAAACAACATTGGAAGACAGTTGATGCATTTTGCACCAAGATTCATCAATTTTGTGAAAAACACCACCATTTTGTGAAGCCCATATCTGTTGAATAAAAGGTGCTGAATCTCTTCTATCGATGATGTAATCAGAAAGAAATGATGTGGAAGAGATAGGTTTTATTAAGTGATACAACTTTTCGTTCTCATACGAGTTTTCGTAATTCAAATTGAATTCTCAAGGAGCAAAAGCAGTTGATTTCAACGAAGAAGCTAGTGTAAATTGCGTAAAAGAATTGTAAGCGGTAGCAATTTTGTGCAAAAGAATAATGGAATGAAGACAATGACTGTGTTGTGAATTAAATATCTTTGTAGAACTGTTAGATAACAACATCGTCAATTTTTATTTACACCGCACTAATTTTTAATGGCAGAGTATTATGCGAAATATAACCATAACCACAAAACGCTGAGACATTTGCAAAACTCCGGACCGCAGGTGTCTGCGGTGGGGAACGAATGCACTATTACCCTTTCCGAGGGCTAACGCATGCACCACCACACCATGGGAGTACTTCGATTTCTTGTCTCTCAGCTAGTTCTATCGATCAGCACCATCAGCAATCACCCGTCAAAGGGATCTAATCTAAGAAGCCAAAATCGGTGTGAATCCAGTTAGGGTGAAGCCATTGTATAAATCACAATGTCGTCAAATTTTATTTACTATCTTCTAATCCTGTTGACGGGTTATTGCTGATAGCGCCTATAGGTCAGTAACATAGTGAGAGACAGGCGAAACGTTGGACCGGCATGGTGTGGTGGTGAACGCGTTAGCTTCTGGAAAAGGTAATAGCGTATTCGGTACCTACCATACACGCCAGCGGTCCGGAGTGCTGCAAATGCTTCAGCCAAATTTTGTTGTATAACATTTTTTTTTTAGACACCGTTGAATATCTCCAATAGTATGGAATCGCATTATTTGTGATAAATCCACTCCACATTGCCAGATACCCGCCGGTGATTTCTGACGTGTGAAAGCAGTGTTTTTTTCCTACCAGAAAAGTGTAGTATCAAAATGCCGATCATAAAGGAGTAGAAGGCTTGGTATTCCCGGGTATGTGATCGAACTAATGATCACATGTGTATTACAGGGCTTTCTATCTGCTAGGCTAAAAACTCCACTGTCTTTGCAAAAACAGCTGTTATCAGCTGCAATGGTAGGATTTTGCTCTTCTTAGGCGCTTTTTTGACTTTTACTTGCTTTATCGTTATTAGAACAACTATTGTTTCCTTAGTCAGCATCGGATATAGAAGCTGCTTATCCTACAAATATACAGAAAATATTCAAATGTTCAAATGTGCAGCACTAAATAGTCGGGCTTACTTGTTACTTGATACTTGAATGGCACGTCCTCACTGGCTGTGGTGTCCTCAGCATAATCACTATTTTTCGGAAATTTGCTGGTTAAGCCATTGTGGTTTCCTGGAATCCTGAGGACAGCCTAGCCAAAGTCTGCTCTAGCTCGTCACCAGGACACGCAGTCGCAACCCTTGTGCATCAGAGGGAAATTTGCCACCATGCGACTTTGATACCAGGACGGTAGTGGGTCGTGGTATTGGTTCACTCTTAGCTAGGCTTGCTGATGAAACGGCAAACTCCTCCGCTTGGGTGACCTTGCCAGGAGATGAATCCCCCGCTGTAAATCGCAGTCCGACACCCAAGATCACCTTCCAGCTATAATGAGCCGGTAAACCGTAGGAATAGTCGGTGTTACAAAACAATAAAGTGGAAACCGAACCCTGATTCGAGTCCGTTTCAGTCGTAAACATCGTGGCTTATAGTGCCGATAAAAAGTTGCAGTCGATCAAGATAGTTAGCTGATATAAGGGCTGTATGTCATGGAATCAACAAGGGTGCTTTTTTGTCTTGTAATTTTCCAGAGGACCACAGGAAATCTTGTCTCTAACAGATAAGTTTCGAAAAAGAGGATGTTGTGCTTCTTCACGGTGAAATTTTCTTAAATTAAAGTGTAGATAAAGTTTAAACGATTTTCCTCGATTGTGGGATTTCGAACCCTATGCTGGATTCCTCTTAGTGTTCTTATTTATCACAACGCCTGTTACTCAACGATCTCTTCCGTCTACGAATTCACTCGTTCACAGAGCTCAGCTCTTCCTCATATCTTCCTACTATACATATTACTATTATACGAAACTTATTGTGCAGTTCTTTTGGAGCTTTTATTGATACACAAAGGAAAGGTTCTAACTGAATAAGAATCTTGAAAAATTGAAAAATTAAAATCGTTAAGAGGAGATAATGAATGAAAAATCTTATGTAAAGACACTTTCCAAAAAGTTTTTGACCACTACTATAGAAAGAAAAACTTCTATTTTGTTCAGATGATATCGATTATCGATCGAACCTGATTGAAAATCATTTCGTAAATATCGCATCCTACAGCTTGCTTTTGTGCCTCGATCACCTTCCACGATCGCAGTAATTCCGACTTTTCCTCATCAGTGAATGGATGCCAATCCATTTGTAAGCTGGAATTTCAAGAATTACTCTAGCATTTCTTTTTGAAAAAACCGTAACCGACAACATTTGCAAAATGTACTCATACACAAAGTTGTTCGACAAATGGATTTAATCGGCTACGCTTAGCTCGTTTTTTACACTTGAGCAATTGTTTGAACTATAAAATTTCCTAAATGAAGCCCTCCTTAAGTTTTCAACAGACAACCAAAGTTTTGAAATTGAAAAAATTTCTCTTACTTTGGAGCGTCTCAGGATTTAACTTTCAACAGAGCTCGATTTAGAAAGAAAAACAGCGAATTCCAAAGATTTGGTTTCTCAAAGAAAACAGCCGTGGTGGTATGGCCAGCAAGTGATGGCCTAACCAGTTTACTACACATTCTACATAGAGGAAAGTACCAAAAAAAGGCAAATCGCATAAATTTTCGAAAATATTTTCTATCTTTAAAATAAATTTATGTAATTTCTAATATAGGGGAGCGTGTGCCGCAGTAGTTGGAGGCGCCACTGCGACACACACGTGGAATTGATCCCCGCGCCAGTGGCTCACCAAGCCTTCCATCCCTCCAGAGTCGGCAAATTGATAATAGACTTATCTACGAGGATAGCAGCACTGGCTCGATACATCGATGAGCCACCACGAGTCACTGTAAAGGCCAGATATGCATTCAATCACCTTCAACGATACTTAACGAAGTTGAATGCATGGCGCAACTCTCAAGGATTGATCGACGCCGAGAGCTTTATCTTTCTATTCTTATTGTTTTCTAATGTAGCTGAAGTAAAATTTCCGGGTTTAACATTTTTTTAAGCAATAAAAAAAAGTTCTTATAACCGATGAGAAGAAATCAAGAAACCAGGTCACTACATTAGGCTAGCTTTTCTTCTAACAAAGCTGTGCTACAAATAGAATAGTATTCGTAGAACACGTTAAGAGCTGTAGAAAAGGAATTACTGTTTGGTCGAATGATCGAATGTTCGAGCGAATATTCGAATCGTGGACGATTTCGTTGACAAAGTTCTTCACCATTACGACAACGATTCGACTCAATGACACAACAGCAAAGCGCCGAGATTTGAGTGGCAACAGAAATTCTCATGACGTTAATTATGACGCCGCTGTCTTATGATGTGAAGCTACATTTATTCTCGTGATTGTGGTCGTTGTCGTACAACGAACGAGGAAGTAACAAACCAGTACAATTCTATAAAGGGTAAGAAATGAGAGCGTAGAAGAAATTTAACTATCCGACCTGAAATGTGTGCACTACTTGTATCTACGAAATGATTTCCTACTTGGAAATACGCATCACTTACGTATACGATCGAATTCTACGCGACTGCAATCAGTAACGAATTTATCTGATGAGGCTTGAAAAGTGCGCTCATCGCTTGCCTCAAGGAGATTCTACGTAACTCGGAAAGCGTTCAGCCATTGCTTACATTAACGACGAAATTTGATACGATTACAGAATACCTAACATTATTTGTTGTTATTTGTTTAAATTGAAAAGTGTGCACCGTTTGCGTTAACGAGGCAATTCTATGCGTCTACACTCACTAAAAGTTATCTATGCGATGTTAAAAGTGCGCAGAGGTTGCGTCTAGGACAAAGTTCCGCACAACTTGGAAGGGGCGCACCTGTTCCCTCTTTGATCCAATTCAAATTGGCTCCTTATAAGTTAACGAAGCAATTTCCGATGCCAATGATTAGCAAAAAAACAAGAAAATAATTAGGACATGAAGAGAGTGAACATTCTGCCAAGCATGTGAAAGTCGCTCTCATTAGTTACTTCTCGATGTTCTTCGAAGAAAATATCATTAAATGAGAGTTTTATTGTAACAAATTAGTGACGGCGGCAATAAACCTCATTGTTGCTGGAAAATGTACCTTTTCACTGATCTTCCTGTTCTTTGGAACATTATTATGACAATTACTGAGATTGATTTTATGACGATATGACCCATTGAAGAGTTGGTCGCTCGAGAGGATGGGCAGAATGAAACGCTTAGAAGGACAAAAAATAGGAAAACTGGCTTAAAAAACAACAGCTGAATAAATTAATGATACTACTGGAAGAAAATCCAACGATGTGTTCGAACAGATTAATGAAATTTCCGAAAGCAAAGTTTCAAAACGAAAGAAGCTGCCTCCGCTTGGAAATGGTGACATATGGAGTCGCTATCTATTTATAGTGAAGCTTAATGTAGAAGAAAAAACGGCTAACAGAAAAATTAGATGTCAGCAAAAGAAAAAGAAAACAGACAAAAGTGGGCAAAGCCAGTTAAAGCTACGAACAGTTATCTTAGCGATGTTGTGACCACGAATCGAAGTCGAGAGGTTGTATATAGAGATTGCGACGTCGTCGATAGGGATAGCGATTCAGGTGATATAAAACAATCATGGAAGAGACGAATTCTTCTTAACCGCTGACTCAGTGTCGAAGCAACCTAACATCGTTGAGAAAAACTTGATGGTATGGCAAGCGCTGCTTTTACGAGGATGTTGTTTATCCTAGTTATATTAGATTACTTCGAAGCAGTACGAACGAGATAAAGTGGAAAAGTTGAAAGAACAATACAACAATCGTCCGAAGTTCATGATACGAATCTCATTTACTTACCGATCTCAACAACCATCACCAACTGATAAAGAGAGCAAGACATAAATGTCAGATGCATACGCTTTCAAAAAGTCGCGATAAAATCAGCACAAGAAGTTGTCCTTTTAGCAAAATGTGGTGGAGAAAAAGAAAACGTGAGAGCTAGATCATTAGGCCTTCCAGAGGTTTGAAGCTGCTTTCTAATAAACCTATAACTAGTATCCACATAATATTCTTCAAAAACTTAATATAACACTTCATATTATCATTATATTATTAATGGTATAAATAGTCCTTTAATTAGTGCCTTATTACTGTACTAAATGACTTCTGAGTGTTAGTACTTTTCTTTCACCATGATTAACCGGTGTATCAAGTAAGGCGAATTTGAAAGGCCATTCTGATTAGGGTGGGAATTTTGCTGCAGAGTTCATTATAAACTGCTAGATTAACCCTAGGAAGTGTTATGGTTGAGCTACTGTCTCCTTACGATAGATAGTATTTATACCACTAGGTTGCCAACAAAAAAGACTCGTTATGTTAAATTTCGTTTTTATTCATTAATAATTTATACTGTGATGAGGGCGTGTAGCGCTTTGGTCGGAGGCGCCCGGCGACACACATGGGATCGATCTCTCGCGCTCCGAGCTCACCAAGCCCTCCATCGCCCTAGAGTCGTCGAATTGGTAGCAAAATTGTCTGGGAGCAAAGCAGCATTGGCTCGATACATCGGTAGGCCGCGGCAAGTGTTGTAAAGGGAAAATGTGCATTCAACCACTTCAAACGATGCTTAATGGAGTCGAATTCATGGGGTATCCCTCAAAGATTGATTAACGGTACGGCGAAAACCTTATCCTTTTATCTTTTTACTATGACGTCCCTCAAATGGCAGCATGAAGCGTCCTCATTTGCCGGAGAGAGAATGGATTAAATCCGACGACTTCTGCAATCTGCTTACGCTCTAGAACGCATTCATTTACGAGATGAACGTTTTCACCGGTAATAAAAGTAAGACGTTGCATTGCAAACACATGGACCCTTTCGTCTTCGTTAAACCGCCGAAGTAAGCTTGGGTCACTCTGCGCTTCACAACAACTGACGAGAGAAAACTTTCCTGATGACGAGCTGGATAGTTCCATTGTCCAAAAGAGTGAAAATAGAGATTTTTATTCCCAAAGTATGGACTCCTTTTCGTTGAAAGAGCTGGTGAATTGAAATTAGCGGCAGCATTACTCACAAGGGCAAAGGAGCTCTTTGGTGATCGCTGGAGTGCTTGATCAATGCGGCATAAAAATCACTGCACGTGACAAGTTTGTTTGCCTGCGTTTGCTACTTTTATTAAGCTTAGGAAAGTAGTAATCAACTTTTTCTCTCCAAGCACAAATAAAAACTGCTGTGAAAGCGTTAACAACGCCTAATATAGATAAATTCCAAGAACAAAAAAATACATCGTTTTCTTGTTCAGCAATCGCGAGGATGTTAAACAACGTACATTTACTTCCATAAAAACACAATACAATACAACGCTAGCTGACGTTTCGGCAGTATCACCTTCTTCAGAGCCTGGAAGGGTATGCTGATATACAATCTACTAGGCCAAATGCTTCAATAACACTTACAAAAAGACGAAAAACTCCATGGTAATTACGTGACAAACAGTTTCTCGAAACACTCACCGCTTTTTCGTGACTTCCAATGAGGAAGTTTAGAACAGCTGATTATAGTCGCATATGGTTGATGACTGCACCACCCCACATCAGAAATGCATCCGAAGGTACGGAGCTATGTCGCGTGTGATCTCTGGGGATTCACCCCTGCTATTCATTGTAGGGTTTGTGGCATTTATCCAAAAAACCCCAAGAAATTTGCGCGTTGGTGTTTTAGTCTCCTGTGCGAGGATATTGACTTTAACTCCCAAGTCCGACCCTCTATTAACCTCGGCATTGAATGAATATATCTTTCTACTTCTGTTCAGCAAACACGAGGTGCTATTTCATTTCTTCATTTACGCACAAGCTGACGTTTCGGCGGATTTCGTCTTCCTCAGAGCCCCTTTCGATGAGTCTTCCACTGAATATGTCGCGTGAAGACCGACCGCACAGAATTCACATGGAAGCGTAATGTCGTAGCGTATTGATTTTAACTTCAAAATCGTCTCCGCTATGCTTTTGTATCCTATGCGTGCCTAGTGGGGTACTTCGTCTTAGTTTTCGTTTGCCATCTAGGTGTTCTTTTTGTTATAGAAACTGAAAGAAAAAAAAGAAACTAGAGCTTAAATCATTAAATGAATATGAATTGGATACAATACATGAAAAAATCGGCTTCTTCAACAAAATAATTAGCAAATATTTTTGCTCTTAAATAAATGCCAAAACGCTGCAATGAATAGGAGGGAGGAATG